CTATGTTTAAGTAAGTCGTGTTAAGTCCATTCAAACCATCTGTCTCCAGAGCTTTGTCATCTTTCCCAAAGGTACCGTCCCCCAATGACTCCTGCCTTCCTCCCCCATCATGCTACCTTCTGCCTCCACCATGTCTACTGTAGATGGACAGAGCCCATGGAATCATAAGTCATTTAGCCTGTGATTGGCCTGCTCACTTAGCATAAGTCCTCAAGATTCATCCCTGCCATAGCCTGTGGCAGGGTTTCCTGTTTAGGGCTGAATAATAGTCCATTGCACGTATAGAATAAAGGTAAATAGTATACCTGTATAGGCCCCAGAAAATTTGGCCAGGGTTACCTTTACGGACTTTGGCTGAGGCTTTCCTGAGTGCTACTCTGGGGCAGGCACTACGACAAGTATGTTCTGTTCATTCTCATTTGTTCCTTGCAATTTTTCACTGTTCCGATGTGAAAACCGGTCTGCACAGTCAGAGGTCAAACAACTTTGCTGCAATCAAAGGGCTGGAAAGGAGCGATGCGGAATTCTGACCCCTGTCCGTGACCTTGGTGACCCTGAAGGTGGGGGTGGGAGAGTGCTGCTGGGCTCAGGGCCGTCTGTCTCAGAGAATTAGCAATTAGCAGGAACGCCGGGTAACGCGAGGGGTCGCATCCATGATCAAGCATCTCGGGGGCCCGCAGGTCCCTGAGGACTGACGGACTGACCGAGGGTCTGACGACCTGGATTTCGTTGCGACCCAAGTCATTTGGGGCCTGCGCCTGGTTCCTGAGCGCACGAGCCCCACAGTCCCGTCCCAGTCCCGTCCCCGCGGCCCCGCAGCAGCCACCCCAGGGGCGCTGTGCTGAAGGCCCGCCGGGACCCCCCTGGGGACAGCGACCGCGGGGACTCGGCTCTGCTCGCCCCGCCCCTGATGTGCTCGCCCCGCCCCCGCTCTGCGCCCTCTCCTAGGAGACCCGGGCTGCCGTCGCTGCCTTCTCTCCCTTTTTCTCGCTGGCAGCTCGGCTACCTGGTCGCGGGGTGTGCTGTCGGGCGGGTCTCCCCGGGGCGGGGCGGGGGGGGGGCTCCGCCCGCGCGAGAGCGGAGCCTCTTTTCAAAAGCTCCATCAGAACAGACGTTGGCACGTATGGTCTGAATGGGGGAAATTTTCACTAATCCGTGTTTGGTGGGGTTGAATTTCGAGTGTTGCATTGCCGTAGAGCCTTCAAAGCAGCCAGGGCTCTCTGTTACCCTGTGTCCCTGGAAATCATCCCCCAAGTGGATTTGTCAAGCAGAAACAGCCTAAGCAGAATTGCATTTCTATTAAGGACTTGAAGTCGGACACATGACAGGTATTGCCAAGTGTCATAAAAGCAAAGATGACAACTACACAATTACTTGTAATTATATACAGAAAAGTCATCACCAAGAACGATTAACTCCAGCCTTGCTAGCCCAAAGTGATCTCACTGCTCTTGAAAACCCATTAATCTTATCAGGGTAGTGCCTGAAGGAGAGTGAAGGGGACAGACAGGATCAACATGCAGGACATTAGTTCTTCTGGAGAACATGCAGCAAGAGGTAGTAGCAATGCTACAGGAACTCTGAGAAGATGCTGCTTTAAGTTCCTAAGTACCTGTGCAAAGATAGAACAGCCTTTGCAGAAATTTCTCAAGCTTCTTTTGTAGGAAAGAAATTTTTGCTCCTTATTCTATCTAGAGGAAAAGTTTTACTTTGAAAACCTCGTCAAGGATTCTACCAATAAAAACAATTAACCAACTACAGAGCTGATGATTTACATTTAAGGCCACTTTTTATTGCTTAGCTTATAAAATGCTTCTTTTCAGTTACAATTTAGTCTAGGAAAGATACTGTTATAACACAAAAAAATAAAGTTTTAGTGAAAGTTTTGTAAATATTATGATCTAACTTGCATTTGCTTACCAAAAATCTGCAAACATAACACTACAAACAGTTCACACTCTTAGTATTATTTAAATTCCTGGCTGACCATAAAAAGTCTTGCTGAGACACTCTACAATCAAAGAGAAAAAAATATTTGGGGCTATAAGAAATCTTACAGTGCACAAACTTCAGCTCTGCAGAGTAATAATATAAAATTAGAATGAGACATACATTTTTGGACTTTAATGTACAATGCCTATTTGTTGTATCACATTTACAAGTTACTTAGAGAATATCCAGAACTCCATGCAGATAGGGTGGGGTGGTGGCAGGAATCTATTGATCTTTACAAAAACATTTACCTTTTGAAATCATGCAATACTTTGTATAAGAATTTATTTGCTGAAAAAAAAAGAATTCATTTGCTGGAAATTCATAAATCAATGTTACAAATACCAGAAGGAAGAGTTCAAAAGAAAACAATTCAGAAAAAGGGCTTTTTAAATAAATACTAAAGAATTAAAGTGTTAATGGGGGGAAAAATCCTTAATTGAAAAGAGACCTAAATCTCATGAAGTTATTTTTTAAAAAGGATATTTGAATTGTATTCATAGTTCTAATTCCAGGTATTCTTGTATAAGAAATCTATGATCTAGCCATTTACTTAATGATCAAGGAAAGCCAGGATGGATCAGAAATATTCTGGCTTGCTCTTTTCCCCTTTCTATTTTCTTTTGAAACTTAAGGTATCTTTTTGGTTAATGTCATGGGAAAAATAATTCAGTAAAATAAAGTTTGAAAGGGAGAAAGTGAATGACTATATAAGAAATGTTTTAGAATTTTATTTTATTTTATTTATTTTAAAAATTTTTATTTATTTATGATAGTCACACACACACACAGAGAGAGAGAGAGAGAGAGAGAGGCAGAGACATAGGCAGAGGGAGAAGCAGGCTCCATGCACCGGGAGCCCGACGTGGGATTCGATCCCGGGTCTCCAGGATCGCGCCCTGGGCCAAAGGCAGGTGCTAAACCGCTGCGCCACCCAGGGATCCCTGTTTTAGAATTTTAATAAATGGATTTGGAGATGGATTAGTAATGCTTGACATTTTGATTGCCATATACTATGTAGTGCCAACAGGATGGCCCAGCTTCTGCAAACAGGGATGCAAGAAAGTAATTGTCTTGTATACTGAAGATTAAAAGATAATGTGCATAAATACATTAGGCAGAGCATTTGAGTTTAAAATAAGCTTATGGAAACTTTTTTTTTCCATTAAATCAGGAGAAAAATGATTTCAGAGAACTTTCCAAATAATTAACAGGCTAGAGAAAAAAATCTCTGGATTTTGACCATAGGAAAAGGTGATTTCTACTTTTATTGCATGTTAATATTAATGCTTATGGTGACTGGCTAAATAGAGAGCACCCTTTCACGGTGCCCGTATCTCCATGAGGGAGCAGGACCCTAGTCATTGGGGTCATGGACTCCCTAAATAGCAACACAATGTAACACCTGCTTTCATTTTCTACATGAATTGAAATCAGAACACTACCCTGAAAAAATACTATAGGCATGCACTGTTGTATTGCAGAGTTTTACTTCTTTATAAATTAGTGGTTTTCAAGGAGGTGAATCTAATTTCACACTCCTACCCATGCACTAAATGGGCCAACTGGACTGAGATCAATTCACAATGCTGGCATCTCTATCAACATATGATGAATAAAATCCAATTTTATTTTATTTTTTTATTTATTTTTTTAAATTTTTATTTTATGACAGTCACAGAGAGAGAGAGAGAGAGAGAGAGAGAGAGAGAGAGAGAGAGGCAGAGACATAGGCAGAGGGAGAAGCAGGCTCCATGCACCGGGAGCCCGACGTGGGATTCGATCCCGGGTCTCCAGGATCGCGCCCTGGGCCAAAGGCAGGCGCCAAACCACTGCGCCACCCAGGGATCCCTAAAATCCAATTTTAAAATATTTTATTTATTTATTCATGAAAGACAGAGAGAGGGGCAGAGACACAGGCAGAGGGAGAAGCAGGCCCCATGCAGGGATCCCAACGTGGGACCTGATCCTGGATCTCCAGGATCATGCCCTGGGCTGAAGGCGGCGCTAAACCACTGAGCCATCTGGGCTGCCCTTTTTTTTTTTTTTTTTAATTTTTTTTAGATTTTATTTATTTATTCATGAGAGACAGAGAGAGAGAGGGAAAATCCAATTTTAAAACGTAAAAACTAAATATGATTATACTGTTCACTCTCATCTCCACCCCCACCCAAATCAAACCATGGGTGACCAAGCAGTTTATTAACATTTATCATGGTAGAACCTAAAGAACCTGTGTTCATATTCACTTAGTGAGTTATACCTTGTCTGTTAAGTGCAATTGTGACCAAAGCTTTTTTTTTTTTTTTTTAATCAGAATGCTTTTCAAACTAGTACTTTCTGGTGGCCCTTCTCACTCAAGTTCTACTGCCTGAAGTCTCAGGCATCCTTTGTAAGTGATGAATGAACGTCTCTCCCCTGCATCCACTGTGGTACAAGTGGATTCCCCCAGCCTGGGGGGAATTGAGAAAACGGTCACTCAAATAATTTTCTGTAAGCCCAAACCTGTTTGAGAAAGGCGACAGGATATTTATGGGAAGTTAACATTTTTCAAGCCGAGGAGATCATCCGAGTTCACTCTGCAGCAAACAGAATGCTCTAATGAACTAGGTGCACACGTTAATCTGAGAATGGGAATCGCAATCTTTTCATCAGATTGCCAGTGGGTTGCTCTGTCCCATATGAAACACAAAGTATATGAAGTGTAGCCCCAGATAAATCATCAGGAAATCGATGTTGCCTCATATAAAGAAATGAATCAAATTAGCAAGTGTTTTGTGTTTTGCTGAATAAGGCTGACAATACTCAGTGGAAGTTGGGAGTGTGAGAAGGACCTGGCTCAGCATTACCACGAGTAAGACACGACAGCAGGGTGTGCAGTTCAGAAAATTCTGCCACCTTCCAGCCAATCCCGCGCAGATCAATAGCCTCCCCCGTCAGTGTAGCAATCTGTGTGGGTGACAAATGGGGCGCACATCCGAAAACAGCACATGCACTTACACAGGAAGTAAAACCCAGATACTTTTATTTACACTTTAGAAAGCAAACAGGCTGCCCACAAAGAATAGTTAGGAAACTCAGAGAGTTTTATTTTGTACTGTTAAAACACGTAGGTCATTGATTCATCTTTATAAATAATTTTTCTGGCAAGAGTAAACTTTTAACCTTCCATTCAAAAACTTCACAACTTCAAGTATTTGAAATGCACTTAAATTTCCCCTGCCTTTATTTTCTACAGTACATTCTCATAGCAATTAGCTGACTCGTGAGGTCGAAGAATTTCTTTCAAAGAAAGTTCAAATCTTTACTAGGATATAATGGGACAACTTAGCATTCTCTTGGTCAGTATTCATTTTAACAGGACTATTTTTCTTTCATTTCTCCTTAAAGAAAATGGGGAGGGGGGGAATAGGCATACCTGTACAATTCAGATCAAAGCACAAAATATCATTTAAAAAATAAATACCTAAGGCATACTTGCCACACTTTTATTTCAATTTCCTCAGCTGTTTAAAAATTATCTCAAGTGTCGCTGCATTTCTACCTGCTTTCTTACCAGCAACCTCTGTGGCTCTCGCCTGGGCTGAATCTCTGCCTCTGGAGGGTAGCTGCTCATCGTCACTTGTCATGGAGCGTGCAGTCTGCTATCCTGGGCTTCACAGGCAATTTCAGAAACTCAAATGACACTATATGGACTTGCTCTAAATCTTTTTTTAGTGCAGTTTGGCAAATATCCCAAATGAAATTCAACTCTAAGTTAAAAGTATCAAACAGAGATAAGTGCTAAGTGCGTCTGTGACTTTCTGGGCCGCCCAAAGGCTCTGGAGAGCCTGGGAATGGAAATCCTCGTTGCGGGGACTGAAGGGACGGTAGAGCCCCGCGGCTCCACCGCTGCAGAGCAGGTACCCACAGAGACGGCAACGCCCGCACAGGCGGCCCCGGTGGTGTTCTGCACCCACTTCGCCCCCCGCCCCCCCACCTCAGCACGCCTCCGCGGTCTTGGCACTCTACCTCACGTGTTAAGAACAGCAAGCATGGACACACAGAAGCCTCCTCTCCCGCGGCTCTTCCCCTCCCGCGCTCCAGTGCCCCTCGCTTCCAGGCTCCGTCTCCCTGCAGCCTGGAACGGCACTTTGGTTTTGGTTGCCAGAAAAGAGGTTATTGTAAAGCTGTCTGCAAAGACCAGCACTAGATGGCCAAGTCGTTGGGTCTGGCCCGGCCGCCGCTGGCCCTGCTGGCCTTGCTCAATCGGCCCGCATCCGCCGGGGGCAGCGGCGGCGCGCGCGTCCCTGCTGGGGGGGTCACCGGCTGCTCCGCGTCGTCGGGAGTCACTGCCAGTTTGCTGTCCCCCAGGCTGCTGCGGCTCCCGGTCAGCAGCGGGCCGGGCTCGCCGCCGCCCGTCCCGTCGTCCGGCGGGAGCTGCCCGGTGCTGCCCGCGGGGCTCGGGGACGCAGAGGGGGCTGCTGCCCCGGAGGCCTTCCTGGCGGGGGTGTGCTGCTCGGCCTCCTGATTGGCCCAGTTCTGCTCCGTCATGAGCAGGTGCTGGTCCCTCGCGCGGGCCTCGGGCAGGGCTGCCGGGCGGAAGTCTGCGGCCAGCGGGGGCGCCCCGGGGTAGCCCGCGGCGGTGGCCTGTCCCGGGGAGGAGGCCGAGGGAGCGCTGTAGGGCGGGAACCCGATGGTGACCGCGGGCGCCTCGGGGAGCGAGGGGGCGCCCAGGGCGCTCCCGCCCCCGGGCTTTGTGGCCCCGACCGTGGCCTCGGGGGAGTCTGCGCGCGGGTGGTTGGTCATTCCCTGCTTGAGCTTCTTCCAGCCCAGGTGGTAGATCTCCAGCATGTTGAGGAGCAGGGACACACAGGCCACCGCCAGCATGAAGATGATGAAGATGGTCTTCTCTGTGGGCCTGGAGATGAAGCAGTCCACCGTGTTGGGGCAGGGCCAGCGGTCGCAGCGGTACAGCGGCTTCAGCTCAAAGCCGTACAGAAAGTACTGCCCGGCGATGAAGCCCACTTCGAACAGCGTCTTAAAGATGATGTTGAACACGTAGGTCCGAAGCAGGGCTCCTGCGATGCGTACCCTGCCGCGGTCGTCGCGCAGCGGCCTGTCCTTCTGGCCGCCGGGCCCGCAGCGTGCGGCCGGGCCAGAGTGCGGGAGCTCGGCCCTCAGCAGCTCCTCCTCGCGCTCCTTCTTCTTCTCCTCCATGCGCACGATGTGCAGCACATGGCCCAGGTAGATGAGGGTGGGCGTGGACACAAAGATGATCTGCAGCACCCAGAAGCGGATGTGTGAGATGGGGAAGGCCCTGTCGTAGCACACGTTCTCGCAGCCGGGCTGCTGCGTGTTGCAAGTGAAGTCCGACTGCTCGTCCCCCCACACCTCCTCAGCGGCCGCGCCCAGCACCAGGATCCTGAAGATGAACAGCACTGTCAGCCAGACCTTGCCGATGACCGTGGAGTGCTCCTGCGCGTTCTCTAGTAGTCTCCCCAGGAAGCTCCAGTCGCCCATTGCTCCAGATTGCTAACCTGCAAAGGAACGGTGCTGGTTAACAGGAGGACACGCAGGGGGCCGGAGGGTCCACGCACCCCAGGGGGGCAGAGGGGCTTCCTGGGTAGGGGTACAGCCACTTCCAAACGAGTGTGCCACTGCAGGTGTGTGTGTGTGTGCGCGTGTGCAGGTGTGTGTTCGTGTGCAGATGCACGTGTGTGTGTGCTGGGGTGTGTGCGTGTGCAGGTGCAAGGGTATGTGTGCCGGTGTCTTGCGTGTGCAGGACTATGTGTGTGCATGTGCAGGTGTGTGTGCATTGCAGGGGTATGTGTGTGCACGTGTGCAGGTGTAGGTGCAAGGGTGTGTGTGTGTGCATATGCAGGTGTGCATGTGTGTGCGTGCAGGTGCAGGGGTATGTGTGCACGTGTGCAGGTGTGTGAGAGTGCAGGTGCAAGTGTGTGTGTGCATGTGCAGGAGTATGTGTGTGTGTGTGTGCAGGGGTGTGTGCGCTTGCAGGTGCAGGGGTGTGTGTGGGTGTGCAGGTGTGCACGCATGCGTGTGTCTCCAACATCCTGCTGGGCAGCGATAGAGACTGCAGTGCCAGCATAAAAACCAGCTATTACACCACACACGTGCTGGCACAAACGAGATGCCCAGGGCGACTCAGGCCCTCACTTCAGAGCTGGGGAAACTGGAGCTCCAAAGACAAATGACTTCCCTGAGAGCCATAGAACGGCCCTGGCTCCCCACTACCCATCCCGCTCTCTGCCAGAGCACGGTCCAAGGGAGTGCTGGTGCTGTGGGGTACACAGCCTGCTCCGATTCCTAACCTCCGCCTTTTAGTCCATGTGACATTAGAGCAACTCTCCCTTATGCCACCCTCATAATTTCTACCACACACTAACCTACTATCTTTTCTGTTATTTGCTTTCTTTTTCACTTTGCAAATGTCTCATAAATGGTTAACTCGCTGCACGTCCCCAGGAGCCTGTGTGGCCACCTGTAAGATGGGACGACAGTCATCAGGTCAGTGCAGTGCATGGCCTCCTAGATGGAGGGGGGCTGGCAGGCCTCCTCTGTGAAAGCGGCAGTGTTCCCCAGATGCAGGGCACCAATGTTACAAGGCGTCCTCCCTGTCACTACTGCTCACGCAGGCCCGGAGCTTTGAACTAGAACCACAAAGAGCTCTGTTGTTCTGTGATTCTTCACACAAGGTAGCGGTCTAAGCTGTAAGTGCATGTAGGACCTCCAGCAACGCTAAAGAATACTCTTCTTGTTTTGAATTTTAAAATGTTTAAAAATACTAACTTTTATGAATTGGTTCATAGGCAAATAACCAGAACAAAACTTTACTCACCATGATCTAAAGAAATAGACAAATGTTAACCCCCTCCTAGAATAAACTTCCGACCCTTTGCTTTGGTCATTTGAGGTCTTTTTTTTTTTTTTTGAGGTCTTTTTTTAAAAAAATATTTTATTTATTTATTCATGAGTGACAGAGAGAGAGGCAGAGACACAGGCCGAGGGAGAAACAGGCTCCATGCAAGGAGCCCGATGTGGGACTCGATCCCGGGACTCCAGGATCATGCCCTGGGCCAAAGGCAGTGCTAAACCGCTGAGCCACCTGGGCTGCCCTTTTCTGAGGTCTTTAGAGAAATATTGCCATTCACGTATCCTACCAGCCTCCTTGTCCCATATTTTGCCTGGCACCTGTTCTTTTGGGCATGTTCTTAGGAAGTAAAATATTTTAATTTAGAAACTTAATTACTGAACATGAAACAATCCATTCCTCCATGAAGGATGTCAGGTGTCAGGGAACCATCCTAGGTTACATCCTGCTTCTCCCCAACCCCAGGCTGTCACAGGGTCCCTGCCTGGCATCTCTGCCCATAGCCCCTCCCTTCAATCTGCTGGAGATTTTCCTCTGGGGTGCAGGACAAAAGCCTTGCATAGTGTGTACCACCCAGTCCCTGATCCAACACTCTGGTGATACCAAGCTTCCTGTGGTCCCTGAACCTCTGCTGTTAGGCCTTTGCATGTGCTATTTCTTCAACTTAAAACCAGGGCCTGGCCTATTGACCTGTCACTTACTGCCACTCTCCCTTTAAGAGTGGCCAACTCAGGCTACCATGGGGGCCCTGTGTTTTCTCTTCCTCCTTATCACAGCCCTGGCTTAGTGGCTGTTGCTTCCTTTACATTCCAGGAGGTTCTTTCCATCCTCCCACAGCTCCTACCTTGCTAAGCTACAAACGGCATCCTCTCTCCTTGCTGTCCCTAGACAAGCACAGCCCTCTGAGTTTCTATAGAAAACCACCCTTAACCACCTTGACTGCTTGTGGACTTTCTCCTTAATTCTAGTTCTGAGGTTGGGGTTTGCACACACAGCTTTTCCTTCTGGATGTCTGCAGGCAGAACAGTGGGCAATGTGCATTTCTGGAAGTCTCTAAGAAAAGATCAGTGTGGGGAATGTCATACTTCTTTCTGTACCTTCCCAGATGTGCAGGCACTTCTGCCTTGCTGAGTACAGCATAATGTGCCAGAAAGGAGTCAGTGCAAGTGCCTGGTAGGTTCTCCCCACAAGGCTGGTGGCACATAACACCAGGGAGGCTCTGCTTGTCACAGAGCCCGGAAATTGTGGCTGGCATTTCCCTGCAGGGCCAGGGAAGCCAAATGCTCCACAGTGACGGGGGTGTCGCCCACAGTAAAGAACTTCCCTGCCCCAAATGCCCATTGTGAACCTGTTGAGAAACATGAGGCTAGGTAAATATTTATGCAACTAGTAAATCAGACGAGGACAGTAGGGCAGCTGCTTGTGGCATCTTGATACTCTTCTTTGCTGGCTCAGCCTCTCCAGAGTTCTTTAGGTCCAGGTGCTGATAAACACTTTCAGATAGGTACCCTTAGAGTTACATTGTGACCTCTGATCGCAACCTACAGAATTACAACGTGTTTCCATCCATATCCTTAGCTGGTAGTCTGGCAGCTGCCATGGCTCAGTAAGTCCTAAAGATGTGATGATGAAGAGTGTGTCCTGAGTGGAGAACACCCGTGGCTCATGCACTGTGTGGTGGCACACACTGGCAAGGCCTTTCTGGAAATGAGTTTAGTAATCTGTATGAAGAGATATAAAAGCCGTGATACCTCTAACCTGTAAGTCAACTCCTGGGACATCATACCAAGGAAATAATCAGAGATTTTGACGAATGAATGAACATGGATATTTACTGTGAATTACTTAGAAAAAGGAATAATTGGAAGCAGAAGTGTCCAGTAAAGGATGAGCAATTTAAATACGTAACAGTGCCCAAGGCTGACATCAGGATCTGGCTTAACCCAGATCCCATTCCTGGTCTTTCTCTCCCTTGCCTACCTCTAATGTGACCGGGAAGAGAAATGTTTGCTTTCCTACCTCCTTTGGTTATATTAATGAGGTGTAAGAAGTTGGCTGGGGAACATCTGGGAAAGCTTTTAGTTTCCTAATAAAAAAGCAGATGGTACCTGTGCTGTCCCTTCCCCCTTCTTTCCATAGTGAGTATAGATGTGCTGCCCGGGGCTGGGCAGTCAACCTTGCAAGCACATGTCAGTAAGTGTGAGGGAGGGATGTCTGGGTGGCTCAGTGGTTGAGCATCTGCCTTCGGCTCAGGACATGATCCCAGGGTTCTGGGATCGAGTCTCTCATCAAGCTCCCTGTGGGGAGTCTGCTTCTCCCTCTGCCTATGTCTCTGCTTCTCTCCGTGTGTCTCTCATGAATTAAATAAATAAATAAATAAAGGAATGAATGAATAAATAAATGCATGCATGCATGTATGTATATATGTGAAGGGTGGTTGAGAAAGTCCAAGGCACCTGTTGCGACAAGGTAGACCTGCTGCAGCAACACTGACAGCCACCTCCAGACTTATATGAAGGAAAAAACTCTTATTTGTTCAAGTTAGGTTTTCTACTGCCTGCAGACAAAATAATTCCTAACTGATACAGTCCCTTTTGATTCTTTATAGAATAAATCCAGGCACAAATGAAAAGCTGTGGTTCATTCATAACTACTGAAATACAAATATTCATTAGATACAATTTTTACGATCATCAATGACATGAAGAGATACTTATTCTGTAATGATAAATGCCAAAAGCCTAATACGAAACTATAGTGTGATACCAGATATTTTACACACATTCATTCATGTAAAAGGAAGAACAAGAAAGATATCAAAATGCTAAGTGTTAACCATAGTGTTTCTAGAACTGGGTGATTTTTATTTCCTTTTCACATTTCTTTGCATTTTCTGTAACAATATCACATTTATCATTGTAAAGGATTCATGACCATTACTTTGTTTCAAAGTTCTAATTTTTTAAAAAGTCAGACGCCTTTTTCATTGTTCTTTCAATACGGTTTCTACTCCTTAGATCTCTTTCATCATGCCCCTGATAAGCACACAGAGGACAAATACAATACATGTGACATGATTAGCCCAATGTCAGAGAATGATCCTGGGATCTCTGAGACGCAACATGAACCCTGACACTGGTTATCACTGATGGCATAGAGCTTACACTGGATTCTCCTGCCATGGCAGTCTACCAATTTCTCCCAAAGCAAGGGCCAGGCTGTTTGTATCCTGTAACTCACTGCTGAGTCTTACTACTGCTCCACTATTTACTCTCATTTCACAGTTTGGGTTTTGTTTTGGAAACTGCATGAATGAATGAACAAAAAAAAAAAATTAACCAGAGGACCGGATACCTGTGGGAAAGCTGGCACTATGGGTCAGAGTGAGATGAAAATGGGAGCCTCCAGATTTGAAGCAACATCCACCTGTCCTCATATTCATCAGTCTGCTCCAGACACCATGCAGACGTTCCTTTTTTTTTTTCATGCAGATATTCTTAAGGTGTTTTACCAATATCACTTTTTAATCATATCCCTGATACCAATTCAGGAAGAAAATGACAGCAGAGGAGTGAAGCACACCCAGAACAGCAAAACTCTGCTGGCTAAGTACAAACAAATGACAACACCGGGGACCCCATGACCCAC